GGCGATAAACACATGTTGCGTATTGTTTGAATGAGAATTGTACTTTACTTTATATTATATCTGAAGTCTTAAAAAAAGACTATTTTTTTTGAATTTATTGTAACGCCTAAAGTTTTTAATGAATTCTGCAATGAAAACAATTTTCTCCCTAAACACCTGAGTCTAGATGCTAGAACACTAAGTACTTCAAGCCACTTTCAACCATCCTTTGTAGGACCATATTGTGTACTAATATTGCCAACTTTACTTAGGACTATGAGAGTATGGGTGACAGATTGTGAAGGAGATCCATAATTGGTGAATTCAATCAAATTATACCTATGTTATACTTTGGCAGGATAATCATCTGACTGCCTCATCGTCTTGGTATCTCGCTCATATCATCAAAATTTTTACAAGAGTAAAACTCTTTCCTCTTAGAGTTAAAGTTTTCATTTGGAAAACTTTGCGCAATATATTAATGGCCTTGCTACTCCAAATGAGCTGCTCGAATTAGTTTGCATAGTTCTCTATCCGTTAATTATGTTACTTAGAACAAGAAATTGTTGACCATGTGCTTGCTAATTGCACATACGTATGAAATCTTTTAATGTGGACTAAGTACCTTTTCTCGCCTCCTCATAATAGGCTCCATGCACTTTCTTTTGCATACTTGGTTTGCAAGGAATCTAGATGTAATATAGTCTTCAAAAGATTGACATGAACTACCTTAGTTGCGAAAGTATACACACAACATTTCAATACCTAGATGACAGATATTAACAAATTCTGAAATTAAAGTATCATCTCTCATGAGTTTGTTTGTACCTCCATATAATATGATTATGATCAATCTGATGTTGCCTTTTTTTTCGATGCCTCTTCAAAGTCAACTCAATGACATGAGCCAAAACCAACTCGCCAACTTCGATTCGAGACTTCGACGACGGCCAGACTATAAACGCAATGCCAGGGGAACTTCTTTTATTCATAAAAGTATTGAATAAAATGAAAATTAAAGTAGTCAAAGATTGAAACAGACTACAGGTCCTTTCACACTGACTGAAGATTGGACCGATCACATTCAAAGTATTTCAGGTCCTTGTATAAAAGAAATGAGACTAGAACACTTTGGAAGGGGTATCTGTAGGTGTCAAAAATTACCTACGGGCTCTCGTACGCAACTCGAAGAAGAGAGAAGATGATGAACATCACTATCTGAGTCACAGAAGCTTAATTAACATCGATAAGCGCATGAAGCAAGTCGACAAACCGTGTGAAGCAAAGGAACTATAGAATAACGAAGATACGAATTTATCTAGAGCTACGCTTCACTTACGAAAAATAAAGTGCCTCTCGTATCCCATCTACTCCATGTATGATTCAACTATGGAAGCCTATAGATCTCCTCGTCATTTTTCATACGCACTTTGAATCACGCAATTCCGAGTTCGTACGACGAATATACGGTAGAAATGGACGGGACGCATAAAATAATGCCCCGGGCCTTAGCGGAGACACCGTGAGTGTCTCGGCCAAGGCCCAGACACCCAAGGTGTCTCGTCCACAGCCGTGGCCAAGACACCACGGGTGTCCGTAGGCTCCAAAAAGCTGTTTTACATAGTTTTGAGCCGTTTTTCGACCGTTAACTACTTGAATTTATTTCAACTGATCTAATATCATCAAAGAATATGATAAAGTGGTTACAGCTGAGGATAAGATTAAATCGTTTGTTCTTATCCGAAAACAGGGCTCCTAAAGCTTATAAATACAATTCTCGAGCCTTCATTTGCACAGATCTAGAATTCTCGAGCCTTCATTTTGTGTAGAAAGGCCATTAATATATTGCGCAAAGTTTTCCAAATGAAAATTTTAACTCTAAGAGGAAAGAGTTAAAATTTTGATGATATGAACGACATACCAAGACGAATATCAACGTCCCCGTCACAGGCAAAGAACCCAAAAAAAACGATAGGCGATAAACACCTGTTGCGTATTGTTTGAAAGAGAGTTGTACTTTACTTTTTATTATATCGGAAGTCTTATAAAAAGACTATTTTTTTCTGAATTTATTGTAACGCCCAAAGTTGTAAAGAATTCTGTAATGAAAACAATTTTCTCCTTAAACACCTGAGTCTAGATGCTAGAACACTAAGTACTTCAAGCCACTTTCAGCCATCCTTTGTAGGACCATATTGTGTACTAATATTGCCAACTTTACATAGGACTATGAGAGTATGGGTGACAGATTGTGAAGGAGATCCATAATTGGTGAATTCAATCAAATTATACCCATCTTATGCTTTGGCAGGATAATCATCTGACTACCTCATCGTCTTGGTATCTCGCTCATATCATCAAAACTTTTACAAGAGAAAAACTCTTTCCTCTTAGAGTTAAAATTTTCATTTGGAAAACTTTGCGCAATATATTAATGGCCTTGCTACACCAAATGAGTTGTTCGAATTAGTTTGCATAGTTCTCTATCCGTTAATTATGTTACTTGGAACAAGAAGTTGTTGACCATGTGCTTGGTGATTGCACATACGTCTGAAATCTTTTAATGTGGACTAAGTATCTTTTCTCGCCTGCTCATAATAGGCTCCATGCACTTTCTTTTGCATACTTGGTTTGCAAGGAATTCAGATGTGATATAGTCTTCAAAAGATTAACATGAACTACCTTAGTTGCGAAAGTATACACACAACAACACAATACTAAGATGACAGATATTCACGAATTCTGAAATTAAAGTATCATCTCTCATGAGTTGGTTTGTACCTCCATATAATATGATTATGATCAATCTGATGTTGCCTTTTGTTCTGATGCCTCTTCTATCAGGTCATTGCCGGAGATAGTTTGGGTCATACTAGCTATCATCTTTTGGTGAAGTTACGCCTCTACTACAACCCCCCCCCGCCCCCCCCCCCCCCCAAAAAAAAAAAAAAAAAAAAATAGTTGGAAAGTGATGGCGATTCTTTATGCCTTCCAAGTTGTGAAATCCAATAGTTGGAGGAGAATTTAAGCAGTATATGCTTCATGGTGTTGTGCATATTCCTCGAGCACTGATGTAGTTGGTGGGTGATTGTTAGCACCTATTCGGAGATCTTGATGCTATATCAGTTCAACATACTAGAAGATCTAGCAATAGCTGTGCACATATATACTCTAGCTCAATTTGCCCTCAAAGATAAATGTATCTCTCTTTTAGGCCTTTCAGGGGATCCAGACTATATTTGTAATCAAATTATGTATAATGCATTTGCATTGTGTTCATCTTTTGGACTCATGTTCTCTTCAAAAAAAAAGTAAAAATAAAATAAAACATAGCACGGGTATGTGATATTAGTAGCATAATGCATAACCTGTGGCAAGCACAAATGACATGGAACGTGAGTAGATTCAGTGGCAAAACTCTCTACTGCAGCTCATTGGTGTACAATTGGATGGTATTAATATTCACATTGAATAACATTATCATTCTGCCTAGTACATGGAATTTAAATGTGGGAGTTAAAATCACAAGATTAGATGTATGAACGAGTCAACGTCCCAGCTCTTTTGCATGCGTGCTCTATGACTCGACTAAGTTGAACTTCAATCTAAACGAGTCATCTTCTTTATGGTTATCAAACACAATACAAATCTAAAGAAAGTAAAATTTGCCTTAATTCTCAATCGAACAATTTCTACATACTCACCAAGGAATAAGTCCGAGAAAACCTCTAAAAATTGGTTGTTACAAGTTTAAAACTTGAAATAAAAAATTTCAATAAGGAAAGTATACAGAAAAAGGTTACCCTACAATGTCATTATTCTATTTTCTCTTTCGGTGTCAATATAAAATTGTTGGAATCTCCACCTCACCTAGAATATTATCTTTTTAGCTAATTTCCTCTGAGCGAGCAATTCCCTTTTGGCCATTTCTTTTGTACATTCCTGAACTTGGATATAGTTATTACCTTCTGTAGTGTTCTATTAATTAGATGTGGAAGGAAGCAACTTAAACAATATATATTTGAGAATATCCAATTATTTATGGATAATTGTAATCAAAAATTTTTGGGAATATATACACACACACCCCGTGTTTATCAGCAACAAGTATCTACACGGCTTCTGGATGTCCTTAAGAATTTTCCTCCGAGTTTGTTCAGCCAGAGTCAAAGATGGAACACTGTCTGGTACGTGAGGTACAACTAATATTGTGATATAGGAACTTTAGTTTCTATAAAAATTAATTAGATACAAGTGGATGCCTAATGCAATATTTGTTTTTTGAAATAATTATTGAAACCATTTAGTATGTGAGACCTATTTAGTTTGAAACAGAGTGAAATAATAATGAAATTTCCATTTATTCCTACTCTATCCGTAGTCTTCAAAATACCCCTTTAGTTGATAACTCTTCACAAGAGAGAACTTTTTATTTTCTAACATAATGGTTGTTTACTTTTTTCAGCTTAAATTATGATATGAATGATTTTGGATTCTCTCGACTACGGAAGAGTAGTGGAGAGACCACTACTTTTTATAACAACTATTCGTTACATGTGTTAATGGAAGATTATAATTCATTTTAAATTTAGTAATTACCATATTCATGACTCGCACTAATTCTTATTTACACTCAATATGTACTAAATAATAGACAATTAAGATAAATCTAAAAAGTAGTCTCTCCGCTACTTTTTAAAAGCGAATAAGATCAAAATCCGGGAACAAACCCAATGTGTGAATGCCCTCGAAGCAAACTTCCAAATAATTTTCTAGAGACCAACAATTTGAAAGAGTTCACGCACATAAGATATTAAACTCTATTTTCATCATTCTGCCCATTTGATTAAAATTGCATGGACGAAACAATAAACAAAACAAATCACAGACGGCAGACATGAACATAAATTAAGGTACATATGCGATATACTTTATTACCAACATAAAGAATAAACCTTGTACTATTCTATAGAATGACCGCAATCTCTCTCTCTCTCTTACTCTCTCTCATTTCCCTAACCACCCTACTTCAACCTGTTGCATCATAAAGCAAGAATCCGACGTAAGTTCCATCCATACATACGAATAAACCCTATAATTAAATCAATCAAAAACATTCTTCTTAGAGCCAAATTCTCTCTATTAAGGAGACAATCCTCATCCTCTCTCTCTCTCTCTCTCTCTCTCTCCCCTTCAACTTCTTTCTCTTTGTAATTAAGTTGCTTTTTGTGTAGATTTACTTAGAGAGGATGGGTAGGATTCATCCTGCAAAGAACATGTCAGGAGATGGAGAGAGCTCAGTCTGGACGGTTTGGAAGAAGTCGAGCATGGCGTTCCAAGGGACCGATGGATTCTCGGTGTACAATGACAAAGGAAAGCTAGCTTTTCGTCTTGATAATTATTCAAGGAAACACAAGGAGCTTGTCCTTATGGATGGAGGTGGAAAGCCTCTTTTGTCTTTGCGACCTCAGGTAGGATTCAGGAGATCATAGGAGTCGTGTTGTTAACTTAATATGTGACATCTGATGAAGGGTACTTTGTATCTACCATGTAGCGGGTAGAGAAATAACGTAAGAGTGGAGATGATGGATCACAAATTCTTCATTGTTGGTCTAAGTAGGATAATAATGTATGTATGATCACCTTAAACATTAAAGCATAGTTTATGGCTTGAAATGACGAGTGAATCTAACAAAGTTAACAGGAAGAGATGAAAATGGAAACATAGGCCTCAAGTATTGATATGTAATTAAGAAAGTAATCTCTTTACTGTCAAGCTGGTAGTGAAGAGCATCCAAATTAGTGAGAGAAAAGGGGATTAGCAATAAATTTAATTGAATAGAGCCATTTGAGTCACTACACTTCGAGAACATCCACCTCTATGCAAGCAGTTCTTAGTTCATCCATCCCCATCAAAAGTTTACAGAGAAAAAGGAACTTATTGTTTACTCAAATAGTTGCAATCAAACTATGATTTTTGTGTATTGACATTACAACTCAACTCTAAACTCGTCTCATTCAAACAGATCCTAAGTATCCATGACCAATGGAACGGATTCAAAGAATCAGAAGAAGACTCCAAAACAAGATCCAAATCGAATATTTTCTCGATCAAACGAAAATCAATCCTCCACAGCACCGATGAGGTTGAGGTATTCATGACAAACGGCATAACTCCAGATTTCCAAGTGGAAGGTTGCTTCTGGAAAAGAAACTGCAAGATACGAAGCAAATCAGGAGAAATTGTGGCAAAAACATCTCGAAAAAAAGTGAATAAATCAGTAATACTAAGTGATGATGTTTTTAGTCTTGAGATCAGACCAGGAATTGATTGCGAGCTGATAATGGCTTTTGTTGTAGTATTGGACCGGATATGCCAGAAGCCTCATGCTACTTTGATGTGTTCTTGAAATTAATGGGAAAGTGTATGTATGTGTTTAGTGTAGATGTTGGATTAATGGTAAATACCATTGTCTCTAATTAATAGCTTCTATGATCCACCCAAGGTATCAGATGGAACAAAGAGAAGGTAGTCGAGAATTATAACTGCACAATAAAAATACAAAGACAGAATTTGGCTGAGGGAGCAATGCTCTACTCCTAAGATTTTCTTATATTGCTTCTTAACTAACTTAATCTACAGGTAACAATTCATCTCTTTAAATAGAGATTTCAAAACTTAATATCACTCTAATTAGAGTTACTGTATAAATAAGACTTGCTATTTAAAGAGAATTCTCGTACAAAATTTCTATTTCAACAATGCTAGCATGAATAGGACTACAAATAAAAGGTAGAGGGGGACTAGTAGCCCATATACTTTTTGAACGTGCACAAACGGATATGTTGCTACCTATTCACTTCCTTTACATATATATTATTCCAGTTCACCTCCTTTACATATGACTTCCTCTGCTCTCACCACCACAAATACATATTAACTCCATACATCAAAACATTGCAACAAAATACAATTTATAAAAACGTCATTCTTAAAAATTATAACTAACTCAAGATTATAATTTTAAGATTGCAAATGAAACAAGAAAATTTTTAGAGGCTGGGTTTTTTTTTCTGTGTGCCGATGAAGCATCATTCTTATACTCCATTGACGATCTGAATCATAGAAGAAAGGTCTGCTTGCTAGTTGTAGAAAATTTGCTCGAAGTGGAACTGAAGTTCAATCTCTAATCTCTCACTTTGGTGATTGAGGAAGATGACAATTCCAAAATCCTTGGATGATAAGATAAGATATGTTGCCCAAAAATGTACAACCTCTCTTCCTCTTATAGCCTATGAGAGTGTGTCCATTAAATGTGAATTAGTAGCCTTAGAAGATAACGAGGGTGAACCGTTTACATAAAAATATCTTTTAGAACAGTCATAGGTAAAGTTCGCCAATAAACGTCATGGGCAAAGTTCATTCTAGCGACCTTCACCTAAATCATGTGTGACATGGCCCACGTGAACTATTTGGGTTAGTAGCCATTAACTTAGAAGATAACGAGGGTGAACCGTTTACATAAAAATATCTTTTAGAACAGTCATAGGTAAAGTTCGCCAATAAACGTCATGGGCAAAGTTCATTCTAGCGACCTTCACCTAAATCATGTGTGACATGGCCCACGTGAACTATTTGGGTGTGGCTCACTCTGTCCGAACTTTACCTAAAGTTTCTCTTTGACTTGGTCTTGAAAGTGAGTTTTATTGTTTCTTTGGTGAGTCTTTCTATCACTACTAGAAAATAGAGTTTTGCCTACGGAAATATAGCGACGAAAATTTCCATCGCTATAACATGACATATAGCGACGAAAATTTCCGTCACTATATTTTCGTAGGCAAAAAAATTTTGCCGACGGAAATTATGATTTTAGCGATGGAAATTTTTCGTCGCTAAAAATTTACCGACAGATTTTTAGAGACGAAAAATTTCCGTCGCTACAGCCTTTTTTAGCGATGGATTTTCCATCGCTAAAAAAGGGATAGGCAAAATTTTTTAGGCGTGGGCGTCCAAATTTTTTGGGCAGCCCATGCCTGATCCGAC